CAAACTTGGGCAAGTCGCAGCTTTTCTCTGGTGATGGTGCTGCAAACCCATTTTGCCAAGCTTGCCTTTTTTCACAGACTCTAGTGTGAGGCCACCGTCAGAGTCACATGACTCTTTTTTTTCTTCAAAAACTCTGAATGTACACAAAATGATGGAAGAAATGGACCTGAAATTCCAGGCCATCCATCAACATTGAGGAATCCTTGGAAAATATGAAGTGGTAGTGATAAGGTACATGTTAGTGATAAAACATGTTGCACTTGAATGGCAATTTACCCCAAAGGTTTCTCAATTTTTTTGCTCAAATTCAAAATATTGATAAACCAAGGCAGTAAATCCAATGAGTTACTTCATTGGGAATGGCAGAATGCGTATGCTGTGAGTCAGCCGGGGAGGGGGGTCCTAAGCCATTATTGAAAGGTGAGTGATGTCTGTGGTCCTGATGAAATCTTAGCTGTCCCACTTCGAGACCCAGAAACTACCTAAACAATGGACAGGCTCTCTTTGTTCACATAGATGGAGGAAACGTGGCCATGACTCACTCTGAGCATTTCTTCAATTTTCCCACTTTACTCATGTTTACAGGCAGTCAACTAGGTCAGAGTTGACAAACAAAGGTCCAATGTAGATCAAGTTGCTGAAATACCCCTGTGATTCTTCAGCCCCAACAAAGGCCAGATTGAATCAATATGGTCAGTCATGCAGTGTCATGTTCTACATGTATGGGGACATTTGTGAGTCAGTGGACTAGGATAGTGCATGTACCACTCCTTGTTGGAAATTCAAAATATTGGACAAGTCTGATGGTGGATTGTAAGCAGCCTATTGAACAGAAGGAGTAAGGACACCATGGGTATAGGGAAGAAGGGTGGAGGGGGGAGGCTGGAAACCCAGAATTGGAATCTGAAGAAACTGGAATTTAAAACAAATGCTAAACCCTGGTGTGGTTTCATGACACTGGTCAAGTTCCAAACTTGATAAAAAGACTCTTAGCCCTAGTTGATTTCTAAGGGCCAGTTTCAAAATGTCAATACCATTTTCAAATGATTTCTGGCATGCAATCTTGTATACCAGATTTTGAGCATGCTATAATAATTTTCAGATGCTAACAAACTTGCTGATTCGTGCGCAGTGATTTTTTCATTTGGAATTGAGATATTTTGTTAATGGTTTGTTGATAGAAACCTTCTCGCCCTAGTCTCTCAATCATGCCTTAATTTTAACTTATCTTAGCCTATTCCTTGATTTGGCTCAATGTCATCGCAAATCTAATGAATCGTTACGCAGTATTTACCCTCTACTAACCAGTTCATGGATGTACATGTACGTAAATATGCTTGGAACTTGTCCAGTGTTCCAAAAATACTGCTCAACTCTGATATTGCTCAACTCTGCATGCCAAGGCTCAGTTCCTTGACTAAAGCTAGGAAGATCACTGGTTAGTGGTTTACTGAAATACAGGAGAGGCGGAGGGTTTTATCTACAGGAAATCTGTTGACTGTGGCCGAGGGCGCTGTTTAGCTTACATACAAGAGGGACTGTCAAGTGTAACTTCAAAGAATGCAAACATTTTTATGGTCTAAGGAACTGTTCATCAAGTGGTTTTCAGTTTTGTTCAGTGACCTCAGCTGAGACTGATCTAGTGCACGCTGGTGGTCTACAAGTGTAGAGAATTTTGTCTTGGGAAAAAAAAGCTGAGGATTTTCAGCAAACCTGGAGACTGAACAGACGAGTGTGAATGAGCAACCATTGTTGATGACTTCTATGCATATTGTCCACAGTTGCCATCCTATGGTATCATACCATTCTAACTTTCTATTGGAATTGCCTCATGAGGGTGCCATGAAATGAGCCAAAGCATGTGTCCTCACTCTGGCTGTAGAGAGATATGAGCTACGTCTTAGTGCTATTGATACATGTAGCTTGTTTTATTATTGGTAAATTACGTGTATATAAAATTTATATTATGTGAGTAATTACATGTACGTGTATTTGCAGAAACAATATCAGGCTGCATGCACGGCTTGTTTCTTGGATGGCAAAGTTCTTGGGTTGTTATTTGGATTATGGTCTTGTACAAGCAATAAATCCTCCCGATGCAGCACATTACTTTCCTCATGCTTACATGTTACGTTGTCATAGGTTCAGGTACATGTACCGGTACATGTGTGTGCAATATACTATATTTAACAAACAGTAGGTCACTTGAGGGGCCCAACTGGGTCAAAGGTCATGTAGAAATTAAATTGGTAACACAAATTCAAACTGTTAAAAGCAACGGACATCCACAAGCACTCACGGACATATGGTACTTGTGCTGTACTGGTAGTTATGGGGACAAACACTCATTGCACCTACATGTACATGTATTTGCCAAACAAATGAAATTGTCCCCTTAACCCGGTGATGGCCTACCAACATGTATACACCTTGCCTTTTAACATAACATGTGTGCCTTAAGCCAACTTGCCCCTACTGTAACAATTTTTCTGAACAAAATGGCAGCAAATTTCCTTTGCATCATTCAACAAAGCGACCGGTACGTATGATTTTTGGATAGAATTGTGAGATACTTTCCCACGGACAGGTCCGAGTAGGGGTAAAAAGTCATGGGAGTGACAGTGTCAAATTGAGTGCAGTACTCAGGTAAGCAATTGAAACAACATGTATACTGCATAATGAAAGTGGACATAATTTCCATCATTGCTAAACTTTCCAGTTCTTTCATTGTACTGGTACCAGAATGATCAGGTGTGGCACCTCTTAATGCAGCCCCAGTATTTTCCTTTTGAAGGTGATGGAGAGACTTGTAACTACTTGTATACTTTGCCTACTGGTGGTTCTGCGTTGTTGGGCATGTGAATTATGTACATGTATGTATTGATACACATACGGGTAAGTACTACAGACATTGCTCTAGGCCATGTTGATAGTCATTTATGCTTCTTTTGTACTTCTGTCTGCTTCAAGTTCATATACTCATCAAGACTGATGAATTCTGAAATGAAAATTGTACATATAAGTTACTCTCACAATCCCTTCACTGAGTCTAGCTTAGTTTTTGCAACTACATACATGTACATGAAGAGTTCTATCAGAGATCATTTTAGTAACGACTCATTCCATTCACAAGTCGATGACACTGAAGTTCAAGGTTACATACATGTAGTCTTAAAGTGAGTGTCTTGAAACATGGGACTCCAAGAGTTGAAAGTACATTGAACTTTGCAGTTACTACGTGTAAGTGTGAGAGGGACCTTGGGGGAGGAGAGAGAGGAAACCCTAGTAGACCCTACTTATGTTTGATGATTATTGAAAATGAAATGAGGAAAGGGAACAAATTAAAGTCATCCATCATTTCCAACTATCCATCCAAATCATCCATGCAGCATGATAATGACAGATTAAAATCAGAAACAAATTGACTGCAATTGTTCCCATATGGCCTGTCCACTGTATTTCACAGTGCAGTGGCAAACCTTCATCAGTTGATTGGACGTAGTCATAATAGTTTCTGACATATGATCGCCATGTTATCTTAATGTATGATTACAGATTTTGCTTCTGTCTGTCGATGGTTATTGAAATGAGAAAAGTCATTTAGCCCGATTCAGAAGTTTGCGTACAATGTCAAAATAGGATTCTTTGAAATAAGGTAGTATGATAAAAGCTCCATCTATAGACTCTTATATATATGTACATGTAGCATGCTGCATTTCTTAGACCTTGTACATGTATGTGCTACATTGTATGTGAGTAGTACTGTGGTGATTTCTTTTTTAAATTGGAGGAGATAGCATTAAACATTGGGAGTTAAGCGGTGAAGTTCATCGGAAATAGATTTCAAATTTTTCTGTGCTTCCAAAGTAAACAACCCAACTTAGTTGCTTAATATTTTAAGTGTAAAAGGGATATGACTTCTACGATGTACATGTATGTACAGTGTAAGTTAAGCAATGGGATTCTTTTTGTAGGCAGTGTACCAGTACACCAGAACCACATTAAAAAAAAATTCATATGCTCCTCTTTCTCTGACCAGAAAACTCACCATGATGGAATTAAAAATGCTTGTCCCTTTATCCATTTCAAACTTTTGCTTCAGTCCTCAACTCTCTCAAGCAGACTCCTGACCATCTTGACCTTTGGAAGGAAAAAATAAAGTCAAATTTAGCCAAGTTGTGATGCACAGGTGCTTGACATTTTCCATGTTTATGACTAAACATTTTGCCGCCTCTGTGTCACTTGAAAACAAGAGAGAGAAAGAAAATGAGCATGCTGAAAATAGCATCTGCCTGGATGAAATTCATACCATATGTTTGTTTAAATAGATTAATCAGCTTCTTAAATGTTTGTGACTGCTGAATTGTGAGGAATCTCTGGGGAAGCCCAAACTGACATGGTAAAGCTTACAGCAGAATGGCTAATACTTGTTGGGTGGGAGTGTGATATTGTAATTTCTGCAACAATGCAATAACTGATGAAATAAGTTATACTCCACCTTACTTCACTCTTCAGAAAGTTATCACAGGCTCTGTTGATGTACTTTGTTGCCCCTTCCTGGGGTCAACTCAGTAGCAGTGAGAAAGGAAGTGTATACACAGCTGACAACCCCCTCCCCCCCTCAAGCTGCCTTCTTAGTGGGAGTAACGTTTGGGAGCTTGAGCACAGACCTGAGGGGCCGTGGCTATTAGGTCCATCCTGGGTCAGGAAGACCACAGCTCTGTAGTGGAAATCAGACCAGTATCCTGCTAGGAAATTAAACTGTCTGCCCAGCCTTGGAGTCAGCTCTCCCCCTTCAAGTCACTCAATAGTCATTGTGTGTTGCCAGCTGTACCCTTCATTCTTTTCTTACTGTTGGCTAGGAGTACCTTCACTGGCACCGTTAAGCTGGACATCATTGGATCTCTGCTGAAGAGAGGTTGAACAGCAAGCCTTTTCAAAGTTATTAGTACCATTTAGGATTAGTCTTTTCTGAAATTTATTGTATGTATTAATCCCAGTGGTGCCCCCTCCCCTATGTATGCAGGGGTTGTGATTCACACTGGACCATTGGGGACATTCACAGAGTGGCTATTGAGCTTGAGTAAAAATTGGAAATGATTCATCCACCAATGAACTAAGCTGTTACTTTACTCAACTCTCTGGCCAGTAACGAGTGAAGGACCACACGCGGTTGCTGCTTGTGTTGCTTCATTTTTTTCCCGTATCGTCGAACGCAAGGGAGTTACCAGCAAGTAGCTGTTGGACCTATCAGTGTTTCCTTCAATCGCCTTCTGCCAGAAAACAAAAATTCCTGAGAGACAGAGAAAAAGTGAATCAGAAGGAGTGACGGAGTACAGGCAGGTCTGGGAGAGTTTTGTGTTCATACTAGTTGCGCAGGCCTTGTTTGACCAGATGCTCCTGGAGTACTGCGGTGGGAGGGTGCATGTACGGAGACTAGCAGGCTACTTTGACAGGCAGCACCAGGCTGCTAACATGCAGACAAGGCACTGGGGACAACTGTAAGCATTCTTGTCATTTCCTGCATGATTTTGTTTTGCCGCTTTTGAGGGAGCCACGTTCATTTTGTTGGCAAATTTTCAGAAAGCTAGTAATGGGATTTAAGACTAGGTCATTCCCACTGCTCACGTACATGTATGTACATGTAGCTACTCTAACTCCAGTCACCACTGAATGTAACTCTATTTACAGCTGAATGTAACTTTACAGGATTGTCACTGTTGAATGTAACTCTACAGGGTGGTCACTGTTGAATGTAACTTTAGTCACTTTTGAATTTAACTGTACATGGACATGTGGCCACTGTTGAACTGTTGTTTTCTTGTGATGTTACATGCACTCACTGAAACCATACAGCCATATACTGATACCAAAGGAAAAACTGAACAAACCTGACTGATTGCACAATTAACTTTACAAGGAAAAAGATCTACAAGCAGGTTGATTCATGTTTAGTCCTTTCAAATGTGGTGCATCGATGCTACATGTACATGTATGTGACATGCTGCATACATGTACAGTATGTGATGTGTTTAAGTTTTATTTCTTGCCTGAATTTGTTTGTGCTTGCATAGATACATGGTTCATTACTAGGCAGTATATGAGAGTCCTTTTACAGCTGAAGTTGAGCACACCTACTTTGGGATTATGTTGGAATCAATTACTGGATCTTGTACTTGTACATACATCTTGAAAACTTGTACTTATGTTTAACCACATTCTGACAAGTTTAGTGTGTTCATATTATACCAGCACATGTACATGTATGTGCCTCAACTGTCCATGATGGACTTACATGTAACTGCGTACATGTGCATCACTTATGGATGAAGTTGGTTTCATGTGAACAGTCCTCCAGAGATCCAATGGGATTTGAAAGCGGAACTCCTACAATGTAGTCATCAGTTTTAGTCATTCTTAAATATGCTTGAAGAAAACAACTAGTCTGGGTCAGTATGATGACACAGGAGCATGGTGACTTCAGATATTATCACCACAGAGCTCTAGCTATCAATCACTTGTCAAATTGGTGGGGTATTCTATCCCAGCAGGTCGAAGGTGCTGGGATACAATTCATGATGGATGGATATGTCACTAGATCCAGTTTGGATAAGGTTGAGAGAGAAGGAACTGGATGTGTATAGATTTGGAAGAGATTGACACATCTACCGGTACCTGCACTTCTATGTTTGGAATGGTGATCATGGACATGACGGGGAAGGATGCAGTCTGTACATGCACGATGTACATGCATTCAGGTTGAAAGACTTGGGAACATGTACATGTACTGGTTGTGATATGTTTATGAGGTGAAGGCAGAATGCATGTATAGGGACTCTGCAGGAACTAGGTGACTTATTAGACATGCAAGATGGTGTACTCAAGAGACTTCTATACATGTACATGTACTGGTATACCTACAGGTACCAGTATGTAATGGGTATGGAAAGACTTAAAAGTGTGTCTGATTTTAGACTTTCGTCAAGGCCTTCGTGGCTGTGTGTGTGTACCTATAAAGTGACTGGACAGGAGACCAGGCGAGTGGCGCTGCCACAAGGCCTTTTCCAACTTTATTTTGAGGTTTTTGTGGTGAATGATTCATAAGCTTTCTTATATGCATTATTCATGTAAACAGTTGAAGCAGATGAGTCTCCAAAATACATGCACATTGTAAATGGCATATCAACTCCAAAGCTTACGCAATGCTTCCATCTGGTTTTTCATGGGGGCAATAAGCAGTGAGATGACAACTATGATGCTTGTTGGTGGGGGATGGTGCTGGCATTGGAGTAACGCTAGCAAGTAGCAGTTCATTAAGGCTGAATGGTCACAGCAAAACGGCAGTGCTTGAAATATGGAGCTCTTACCTTATCCCGTGGGTAGAGACTAAAACGTCACACCCGCGGACAGATGCTTCAATAGTCTAAAGCTGGAACACGGCAAGGTGAAGTTTTCCAGCAGCGTATTCTAAAGAACTGTCCAAATACTGCTCAGACAACTGACCTGCACTCGCGGCTGCTGACTCACTTGACAGACTTGCCATCTTTTGTATACTTTCGATTTGCATAATAGGTTAATGTGTGCTGACCCCCTCGTTTATGATTGGTTGGGATCGAAAATATAAAGAAAAACATAAAAAATTCCTGACAAGTTTGAGAAGGCCTCGTGGCTGTGTCATTCGTGCATGTGGTCTCCAGTCCAGCCGCTTTGCAAAAGGCTAGTCTGATTTGCACATAAAACGACACAAAGAATGTGTGTGACTACACATATACACATACATGTACACTTCACAACCTGTCGCAGTGTCAAACGGTAAGAACAAAACAACAGTGGTTTACCACTGAGACCATGCAGCTTCACAGCATTCATGTGCGCTCAGGGTTTGAACATACAATTCCTGCTTTTCTTGATGATATTTGCTTCAATGCTACATGTTGAATGTAATTCTTCATAGGAATTCCAGGCAGTTGGAATGTTTTCAAGTCTCCAACAGGTTTACATCTAAATGACATCTAGATGTAGATATACATGTGTCAGTGGGTGTTATTGTTTGGCACTGGTCCTTGTTCTTTCATTTCACATTTATTGTACATTGTACCATTATGTGCATTACATGTAGTTGGCGTCAGTCGATGCATGTCCATTGACCCTGCAGTATTTCAATATGTGACAGTTTGCCAGTTTGTTACATTTGCCTGTCTTGCCTTATATCAGATATTGTGGGTAACTTTTTAGACTTTCCTACAGAGGTTTAGATAATTTTCTTCAAGCCATGAGAGCTGTAGAATACCAACTTCCTTGCTTAGAGTTGAGTCGGCCGACATTTACAGTACTCTTTTGCCTTTGGAATGTTTAGTCTTGTACTCTTCTTCATGAGAGGGAGATTACTGTACTCCTAATAGGTGGAGGAACTAAATATCAGTTACTATTATGCGAATTAGTCCTTTTGCCTTAGTAAATATAATAATAATTGTTAATTCTCTTAAAAACACGGTAAAAAAGTAGTGCTTAGTAATAACCATGAACTCATGACACCATAGACAAAATCACGTAAGTCCATATCCGCCCGTGTACGGAGGCACATGTGAGGCTACTGCGCACGGATGCCACGGCATGCGTGTTGACTGGCTGCCGTGCGCACACCCGGCAGTGCCATTCAGAAAATCATGCTGCGCTCCAATGCCCGGCGGTCAAATAAATCATGCTGCACTTCAATACCCGGCGGTCAAATGTGCTCACACTCATGGTCTAAACCTTAATCTTTCTAAGGTGTTTCTGACCCAAATTTGATACTTAGTTTCTTGTAAAGGTACCAGAAAGCTTCTAAAATGCCACTTGAAACAATACCCATATTTAGCAGATCAAAACTTGCAGAAAACCTCACCTTGTTTTGCAGAACTTTCGATTAGGAGTTCGGGCATCTCAAACCCTATCCGCCCTTGCAAAAGTTCAATGAAAATAGTGTGGTCCCCGTGGGCCCTATAACAATAGCCTACAATCAATTTTACTGCATCATGTCTTCGGGGAATCTGGTGACCACGTTTTTGTACACACAAACAACCCATGCGCCCAATGCATGCGCAGTAGCCCAATTCGGTCTACTGCACTCCAGACCTAAACACGACACCTAATTACATGTTTCACTTCGGGTCTTTCCCGTCGATTCTGGATTTTCTAAATAATTTATCGTGGTTATGCTCTGGATGGTGGGAAAAGTTTCAGGCAGACAAACCATGAACAAATTGGTTGCAGTAGCCTCTGTTGGGCAGGACGTAATTGACAAAACATGAAAAATATAGAAACTTACATTACTCTTTCTATAGTAGAAATCACTGCGTGTTTTACCTTCTGCATGAGGTTTTATGCTGTGTATTTTGACTGAATTTCCAAGTCGGGAAGTTTATACGCCAATACACACATTAGTTAAACCCCAGTTCCTAAAATTAACTCCCTCTTTACAATACTGTATCTGCCAGGTGACACCGCATCAGGCTCATCTCGGTGTTAATTTGAAAATATCCAGTCGATGCCATTTCCTGCGTCACTTACAACCAAATTGCTTCTGCTGATTATTCACTAAACAGCTACCGGTACATGTACCTGTACATGTACTTTCATGTTTTGAAATTGCTGATACAGTCTGCTTTGATGGTAATACTCAAAGGGACACCAGTGTACATGTATAATGTGTAATTGTATTGAGATTTTGTGCTGCAAAAGATACGGTTTCAGGCGTCTCAAGAGAGACAGCTGATGGCATGAACAGGCCCCCGTCAACCTGCAAAAATGCATTTTATTACATGTACATGTATGTAAAAAGCCCATGGCATGGAAGTATGTACATGTAGTAGCATTTGACAAGTTATTTGATGTACATTGTTGTGAGAAAACCTTAAAGATGATGAAACCCAGTTCGTACAGGACTGGGATGGGAAGCCAGTGCAAGTCGGCTAACATGGGTGTGATGTGGTCTGTTTTCCTTGTACGTGTGATCATTCATGCTGCAATGTTTTGTATTCTTTGAAGACGAGAGAGGAGTTGATTGTTGATTCCATTGGGAATAATCCAGGCCCAAGACATGAACCTTGGGGTTGTCCATACTTCAGCACAACCTCATCGGAGATGTCTTTGTTGATGCGGACTGCTTAAGATCTTCTTGTTAAATATGATTTGAACCAGTTCAGGGCAACCCCATTGATACCAAATCTATCCTCTAGACAATAAAGTAGATGTACATGTATAGTGGTCCACTGTGTCAAACGCTGATGATAGATCAAGTAGGACCAGCAACACTATCTGTCCATTATCCATGGCGTTCAAACTATCAGTCTGTACTTTGAGAAGTGTGGTGTCAGTGCTATGAAAAGCACGGTAGGCTGACTGGTACTTCTCAAAAATGGCATATTCAGCAAAAGTTAACAGATCAGTGTGCTATGGTCACCAATCCCATCAATAACCTGGAGATCAGTAAAAATACGAGAGTCTGATACACGAGTGATGAACAAATCAAGTGTACAGTGTATGTCCATGTTGGTGTGTACAGGTGTAGGGACATCCACATGTTGTTGAAGTCCACTAGCTGACAAAAATGACAGAAAAGATTGGGTTGAGACATCCAGTGCAAAATCAACGTGAGTATTGAAGTCGCCGGTTATCACAATGAGTGCCGCTCTCAGCAAATGATGACCAACAAGATAGGAGAATTCCTCCATAAACAAATGGAAGAAACATCCCGTTGATTTTGGGTTGCGGGCGGTATACAATTATCAAGGAGAGTGAAGTTGATCCACTGACAGTTGACATTGACAGTTAGTGCTTCAAAAGGTGCAAAACTTTGGTCAGTGTTATGGATCTGAACAATAAATCCCGACTTGTAGATGAGAGCTACACCACCCTCTCGTTCAGAACCAGGTCTTGGCACATGCAGAAATGAGTAACCAGGAGAAGTTATGTTTCTTATAACAGCTCTATCCTCTGTCTTGATCCAGGATTCACCGAGTCCCACAATATCAAATATTCTCACAAAGTCTACAAAGTCAGTAGTTTTGTTCCGCATAGATATAGTGTTCAGAACACAGAATTTGACATCTTTGTTGTGTGAAGATCCTGTTAGGTGTTTCAAATGTCAAGTCTTACCAGCTCTACAGCCCCTTCTTGTGTGTCTTCTGGATTTAACTCATGGTAATAAATGTACAGCTCAAGGAATCTTGTTGGGTTTAAGAAACTGAACAGACAGACAGACAGTCTCCTCAAAAGGACAAACTCTATCAGTAACATAAGTTCTTAGGTTGTGTAGGACTTCAGCACTGTACTTGTGGACAGCAGGGAGTCCTGAGCTTAAGTCCATTGTGCAACTCATTTGATTAAGAATACACTCTTCTGGTGCGCTGTTGTCTGTGTTGCAGTGTGTAGTCCACTGTTGAAACCTTGGAGTCTGAAGGTATCAGAGTTGCAGGAACTGATTGAAAAGTATTGCAAATCCAGATGAGCTGGAGTAGGAGTGAAGTGCTCATTGTGATCTATGAATCCTCCTCTGTCACTTACTGTGTCATGATTTCAAGAATTCAGGCAAAAGAAAACGTTTTATTGGATGTCAATGCAGAGCAGTGTGTGGAGCTGCATCCAAGTGCGCTGCCCATTGAAAAAAAATAAATGAAAAATAGCACACTATAGCTACTGTAGCCTGTCTTACAGACTACCGGTATATGATCTCATCCTCACTGTTTTGTATTGTACTCTACCTTTGCAGATCTGGTGGAATGGCCTCTGTGACCGAAGTCAACAGTGATCTAGAAGACGAAGCATCAGTCACAAGTCTCAATGTGGTATGCTGTCTATCTTTCTCAGAATTGTCGTTCTTGTTTTGAATGCATCTATTTTTTTTCCAGCGTTACCCTGTTAAGCCCCGATCAGTACACTGGTCTTCCTCAGGCCCTGGCTTCCAAAAGGGAGAGGAAATTAATTCAGTGTGTAAACAAACTTAGGAAACTTCAGAGAGCCAAATTAATGAGGATTACCCATGCAGACCAGACTGTGCTTCTCTTAAATCAAGCCCACATGTTCGGGCTAGACTTTGCTTGGAGTTGGTTAATCAGTATATAAGACCCTTCCTGTAATGAGATCAGAAGTGGTTCAGTCTTGGTATGTAAGTTAAGCTTTGGCGGGGAGTAGCTGGATAATTTTCAGTTTAACCTTGTCCTACTTGTAACAAGCCCATTTCCCTAAACAATATGTAGATAGGTTTGTGGTAGCACCATGGATACAGTGTATATCTCTTTTTTGAGTATGTGGGGTTCTGAAAAAGAATCGGGGGTACCACCGGTTCTTTTCAGAACCCCACATACTCAAAAACCTATCTACTTGTAGTTTACAACATGTAATTTACATGTATTTGCTGTCTCTACTATGAAAATTTTCAAATCTCACCCATTTCCCTGTACTTTGCTTTAGATCCATGTTGGCACCATGATGTCTCTTGTTTTCCTGATCATGTGGTTAAGTGTTAATACTTTATCCCTACTCATACATCATAGCAGCAAACTGCTTCAGATTATGCACATTTAAATGTTTGATGTGGTTTGTAAGACTTCAAAGACCTTGTGGGATTGTTGTATTATGGTGAATGTGCATGTGTATACATGTATGTGCTGTTCTTGAGGATTGAATCAATACTTCCATTGAATTCCGCTTTTCATTGGCGAAGTCAGTCAGTCTTACGTACCGTACTTGAGCTTTCATTTCAATGGAGCCTTTTGTACATGTACAGTGTACATTTTGAATTAAGTTTAATTTTAAGTACGGGTTTGCCCTTACCTGACGTATTCATTGAGACTGTCAGTGCTTGCCCGAGAGCTTGTAAAAAAATTGACGACCCATGACCTCCTGCTTACTACTAGTGCAGATGGACAAAGTTTGCTGAATCAGCCAAAATCCAACACTAGACATGCTTGAGTAAACAACTGTCACATAAGGATGCCACATTTTGTTCGCGTGTGCGCTTTCCTATGAACACATCCCACCTCACTGCCATAGGAAAGTGCGTATGTTTCAGGGGCTACTGTATGTGTATTTGCCTATACCGGCAGGTGTAAAGTATAATG